CTGCTCCTCATGCACCTCCGCATCTTAGTATTTTACTTCCGCCCTGCTCCTCCTCTGAGTCTCGGTATGCTTTTCTCTTTCCTTCTAGTTGTAGAATTTCCATTCAGCCTGCCTTCCTGTGGTTCAGGATGATATCCGTTCTGTTGTTTAGTTGTATTTTTGAAGTGGTTGTTTGAGGCAGCAAACTCCGGTGTTTACCTATGCCACCATCTTGCTTTCTCCAAAATTACTTTTTAAATTGCTAAAATTTTGTATTACAAAAGGTTTGGTTTATCTTTCTGAAAGACTGGGAGTCAAAGCTTAATAATCCCAGTTCTGAGTAAGCATCCTGCATTGTTTCCCTCAAATCCCAGAATAAAATCAGCTGCAACAGTATTTGTAACTCTCAGAGGTCAAAACCCTTTGTGAAGGGCACTCCAAAATAATAATTTGTGCCTTAAAACATTATCTTCAAAAAAAAAGTTATCTTCAAGTAGCCCAAAGAGAATCACTTATAATTTCATTGGCCAGGTGTGCAAAACATCGCATTACTTAGACCCCTGTGTGAACCTGTGCCATGCAATGGTCCCAAATGCTGGTCTGTGGAAAAAGGATCATTTAGGGAGCATAAGACTGATCTGTGAGTCCCAACCTGATTCAGAGATCTAAACTCAGTTTTGTTTTGTCTTTTTAAGCTTGTCCAGATAATTCCAACAGACAGATTAAGTTTATCTTAGCCCAGCACAACTTTCCACAGTCATTTGAAACTTTCTCACTGTGGTTAACTAGTACCTCTCAAACTCATGTTCAAGGGCACTGGTGGGAATGGTGGGGAATTGTTAATAGTTCTGTTTGTTGGATCACCTCTGTGTCTGGGATTTAGCATTGTTTCCATCCCAGGTCCCACATCTGGGCCTGACTCAGCTTCCTGCCAGGGCTCCTTCCTATGGCTTTGCTCTCCAGTCTTCTAGGCCACAATCAAGACCAGGATATACAAGAGAGGGAGCTGCAAACAGACTGTTCGAGGTCCCACATAGACAGAGGTCTCCCTTCTTCCTGGCCAGGGCCCCTCACTGCCTGATGCGCTGTCTCTTTTCTTCTGGTGGCCTTGCCAGTCTTGGGACTAGCTCCTGCCAGGCTGCCTCTGGGGCCAGCCTTCCAGGTAGTCAGGCTGCTTTCTGTATGCAAATCGTAGGGCTCCGTTAAATGTTTGTCTCTGGAAAGGGTTTCCACCTTTGTGAGTTACTGCCTATCTTCCACTTCCCTTACCGTGGCTCTCAACCTGTGGGTCGCGACCCCTTTGGCGGTCGAAAGACCCTTTCACAGGGGTCGCCTAAGACCATCCTGCATATCAGATATTTACATTATGATTCATAACAGTAGCGACGAAAATAATTTTATGGTTGGGTCACATGAGGAACTGTATTTAAAGGGCCAGAAGGTTGAGAACCACTGCAATATCTCTGGCTGAACCTGCTCATTTTAGCACCTCACAGAAATGAATGCACTGTTGTGGTTTCCTAAACCAGAAAATCAGTGCCAGGCTAAGGGCTTTGGGAGCCTTTCCGTAGTTTTTGAATCTTACTGTTTAACACACTAGTTCATAGTAGGCATTCCGTGAAATGTTGAATGAGCAAAAAATTAGCTAAGAAATCTTTGCTTAAATGAATTTCTGATGAATTTCAGGCAGTATGGATTGTGCACATGTGTTCACAGAGGTGAACACCACGAGGCCTACTCCCTATGTAGAGCTGTCCGGGGAAAACAAAGGGAAGATGTGTACCTTATTGGCCTTTAGCCTGAGCCCCAGCACACACAGCTTAGCCCTTCTATTTTCTTTAGCACTGTTTTCCACATTTGAACATGTACTAGAATCACCAGGAGGGCTCGTTAAATCACACATTTCTCTGCCCCATTCCAGAGTGTCTGATTCAGTAGGTTTGGGGTGGGGCCAGAGAATTTGCATTTTAACAAGTTCATAGGTCCCTTGGTGCTGTTGGCCCAGGGACCACACTTTGAGAACAACTGAAGTTTTAATAGTAGTAGCTATACTTAAGTACTGTTTTACTCCCTACCATGTACCAGTACTGTGCTAAGCTCCTTATATAAGTTATTTTATTTATTATCCAACAACCCCAGGAAGTACCAGTTATCCCATTTTACAGATGAGGAATCTGAGGACTAAAGGGTTTTTTTGTTTGTTTGTTTTTGAGGACCAAAGTTTTAAAATAACTTGTCCAGTGTCCTAAGGGACAGGGCTGAGGTTTGAACTAATTTCTAACTTCAGGGTCCATGTCTATAACCATAATAATATCCAACACAGTTTATGTGTCTTAAGTAAATACCTGATAACATGCAGTCCAGTAACTCCTGAGATGAATGCCCAATCGTATCTACCCCCCTGACAACCATCAAATGCCAGCTCTGCTAGCAAGGAGCCTGAACATCCTTATTCCTTGCTTTATCTCCGGAGCCTAGAAAACAGCTCACAGGGGTATAATAAATAAATAATTGTTGGAAAGTAATGCATATTTAAAGTATCTAACTTAGGCAAACAAAAAACAAAACCTTTTGTGAATGAAGTAGGAGCATGTTCACATATACAGACTGAGTGTTCAGATTCTTAAGTTGGGGTGGTGGCTATTTATTCTCTAGCTCAATACCTGTGAACTAGCAAAGCTTCTGTATACATGAGATTATACATAGAGGCCAGTGTTGCTCAAAGTGTGGTTTCTGGACCAGCAGCATCAGCCTCACCTGGGAACTTGTTTATGGCTGCCAGACTTAGCAAATAAAATATAAGATGCCAACTTAAATTTGAATTTCAGATAAAACAATGAAATATTTGGGAATACTTATAATTAAAAATGATTCACCATTTATTTGAAATTCAAGATCCATGGGGCATTATGTATTTTATTTGAAAACCCCTAACTTCTTAGAATTAAAATTCTTGGGCCTGATGTACTGAATCAGAAACTCAGGTGAGGGCCAGCCAACAGTGTTTTAACATGTCCTACTAAGCAGGGCTTAGTCCAACCTGGCCAGCTGTTTTTGGAACATAAAGTTTTTGGAACAGAGCCATACCCTCTTCTTCACTTATTCTTTTATGTACTTACTAAGTTTACTGTCCTCTTGGAGCTTATATTTTTGTTATGGGGTTGTGTTAATCATATCTTCATCTGTAAGTGACAAATCAGGCTAAAACTGGCTTAACCAGTAAAGGAATGCATAGATTCTCTTGCATAACCAGAAGTATAGAGGTAGAGTATGCTCCATGTCTGGTTGGTTCCACAGTTCTTGGTGTTACAAGGGCATGACAGGACAGAGACCTCATGGCCTAAAAAGCCTAAACTATTTACTCTCTGGTCTTTTGCAGGAAACATTTGCTTGACCTTGACCTAAAGAGAGCTTCCTCTGATGATCTAATTGCAGTTTCAACCTCTCCCAGGAACATGATCTTTAAAAAAATCTTTATTGTTGAAAGTATTACATATGCCCCCCCCCCCAGTAACTTCTAGCCTGCCCCCACCCCAGGCCTTCACCACCCTATTGTCTGTGTCCATGTGTTACAGACAAACCGGAGAAGAACCAAGCAATGCTAAAGAGATGGAGTTACATTTATTACGCGCGGGCACAGAGGAAAATGTCTCTCAAATTCTGGGTGTACAGAAGCCATACTATCAGGGTTAAAATTTCAACCAGCAGTTTTTATGTAAGATGGATGCTTCACTTGGGTTATACATATATGCATACAAGTTCTTTGGTTGATCTCCTCCCACCCACTTACTCTCCCCCATCTTCCTTCTGAGATTCCTCAGTCTGTTCTATTCTTCTATTTGGGTAGAATGAATATTGATGCAATTAGTACTTGATGCCGGTTGTTTGGGCTATTGTTTTTTATTTCCTATGAACCTTTTCTGAAAATGGGTATAGAAAAAAAATACATTTTACTATAAAACTCCCATTAATTAAGCACTGCCAGGTTCTATTTTAAGTGTTTTGTGAATGTATTAATTTACTTAATCCTCACAGTGACCCCAAGAGAGGCAAATTATCCTATATAATAAAAGTCTAATATGCAAATTGTCCCCTCCACCATGAGTTCGACTAGGGAGAGGCCGATTCCACCTGTAAAAAGTTGTCAATTAGTACAAAATAGCTGGTTAAAAATTAGCACTGAGCTATGGTGTAACAGAAAGAACCCCGATTTGGATCAGGACTTGGATTCAGACTCCAATAGTGCTGTGTCAAGATTTGGGGCTGGTCACTCTGCGCAATTTCCTCGCTTGCAAAAGGGAGATAATAACGCCTACCTCACCGGGTTTTTGTCAGGATCTAGAAAAGGGATGACTGTAAAAACGCACCGTGAGAACAAGCTCTCGGCCTTGGAGTCCCAAATTTGGATCCGCACCATCAATCCCAACAGGTAAAAACTCCCCGTATCCTTCCCGGAAGCCCACGCAGAGCCCTCTGGGACTTGTAGTCTCGCACTGGCTCTGCTCGCCTTTCTCTAGTAATTGGGGCGGGTGGGTGTACGCCCCGGAAGTACTTGTCTCCCGCGGGGCAGAAGGCGGGCCCGCCGCTGGCATAGCCGCTATGTAGCGGCGGGGCCGGTATCCTCCTGCTTGTTGTGGAAGGTGCTTGGGCTCCCCTGGCGTCGCAGCCCCTGGACGTCTAAGTCGCCAGCCTGGGCCCCTGTGGCTGAGCGGAGCCGCCGCCGCCATGTTTGGCTGCTTGGTGGCGGGGAGGCTGGTGAGGATGGGGCCGCGTGGGAGCCGGCAGGGGGCAGGATGCCGGGGGCGAAGCGCTGGAAAGGGGAGGTGCTGGGGTGGAGGGCTGCGGGGAAAACCCCTCCTGTCCACTCTCTGGCTGAGGGTGGGGAGGGGAGACGCGGACGCTTGGGCGTTCGTTCTGTTTTGCCCCGGATCTGTTCCTAGTCGGAGTGGCCACGCTGCCATTTATGGAATGTGCGTTACGTGCCGGGGGAATGCACGCCTTTTGTCCATTCCTGTCACGTTAGCCTTCTGTCTAGCGCTGCTGTGGCAGCTCAGACTCACCAACCTCGCAGCGTGCGAGATGGTTGCCGGCCTCCGGTCCTTTTTGCAGTTGGGGAGCTGAAGCTCCGTCTAGAGCGCTCGCCTAAGCTCGCGGGGGGCGTGCAATGTACATGTGGCCTTTGAATCTAGCCCGCGGCGTCCTGCTCATCAAAGATGAGGGTGCTCGGAGCTGGTGGATCTGCTGGGTCCTTTTGGAAGGCGTCTAATAAAAATATGCCGGAGCGAATTGTAAGTTGGCTGATAGAAACGCCTGAAATTGAGGAGTGAGCCAAATCCGAGATGACTGGAAAGATGTGAGCAGCTAAATTTCCTTATCGGTTAAGAAGAGATTACAACCTCCCTTGCGGGAATGTTAGAATGAAAGACCAGCCCCTGGAATTGTTCAGGAATATAGTCTGGAAGGTGTGCGTTGCTTGCCTCCTTAGAAACCACCTAGAGGTTCATTTCAGACCTAACTCGTTTCACTTGGAGTTCTTTTTCTTACCTTTTCCCCCCTCCCCGATTTGTTCCATGTTGCAGCCCCTTAGTTGAATGTTAATGTATTGTATAATGTACACAGTCCTAAGGAATCACAAAGATAAATTGGAGATGACCAGCCTGAGAAAGTTTTTTTGTCCGTCTCTTGAGTGGCTGGGAGGCCTCTTCTGGTGCCGGTGATAATTGGTAATACCGGTGAGATAACTCTGGATTGCCCTGGCTCTTGATAGGAAAATTGGAAGACCCAGCCTGGGATGAGTGTTGGACTCGGATGAAAAGTGTCATTAATGAGTGACTTTGAGGAAAAAAAAGTGTTTTCTTTCTTTTTTCTATTAGTGACTTGTTTTTATATTTTTCCATTGATTTTTAGAGAGAGTGGAAAGAAGAGGGAGAGACATTCATGAGAGAGAGGCACATGGATTGGTTGTCTCCCAAACGCTCATCAACCTGGGTTGGGGATCAAGCCTGCAACCCAGGTACATGCCCTAGACCGGAATGGAACCCAGGACCCTTCAGTCTGTGGGCTGGTGCTCTATCCACTGAGCCAAACCAGCTAGGGCTCTTTCTTGTCCTTTCTTTTTTTTAATCCTCACTGAGGATATTTTTCCATTGATTTTTAGGGAGAATGGAAGAATTAGGGAAATACAGAGAGAAACATCGATGTGAAAAACACACACACATTGATTGGTTGCCTCCTGTAAGAGGCCTGACCAGGGCAGGGCCCAAAGAGAAGCCTGCAACCAAGATACATGCCCTTGACTGGAATTGAACCGGGATCCTTTGGTCTGCAGGCTGACACTTTATCCACTGAGCCAAACCTGCTAGGGCTCTTTCTTTAAAATATATATATATTTTTTCTCTCTCTCTCTCTCCATATATATATATACATATATATGTGTGTGTGTGTATATATAAAAATTCAGATTTTGTGGTTTGGTGAATAGGAAGGCAATAGCAATAGGGAAATAAACCAAAAACCTTACAGAGGGTAAGGTTTCTAACTCTTACAGCCATTTGACTGGAGTTTGCTCAAAATGGATACTACTTTTTGCTAATGGATGTGGTATAGGAAATTATAGTAATTTTCTGAAAATTTTGTAAAGCTATGGCTGGGTGGCCCAGTTCCTTGGAGGGTTGTCCCATACAACAAAAAGTTGCAGGTTTGATTCCCGGTCAGGGCATATACCTAGGTTGCAGGTTTGAATCCCCAGTTGGGTGTGTGGAAAAGGCAACCCATCGATGTTTCCCTCTCACATTTAATTCTGTCTGACTGTTTGTCTCTCCCTTCCTCTCTCTCTAAAATTAATAAAAAATAAAAACATGCCCTTGAGTGAGGATTAAAAAATAAATACAAAATTTTGTAAAATGAATATTCTTTGTGAAAGATTTCTGAGACTTCAGAATAAGATCTCATTCTATAAATTCATGTTCAGTTCTAGAACAGTAGATTAGATTTTCAAATGAGTCGAGAAAACTTTTTAAAGTTTCCACTTAGCACATTCAAGGTAGAATTTTTACATTTTATTTAGTCTGTTCTCATTATTTGTAGTAATTGTGTTCTATAACGTTTCTGTGAACACTGAACTGGTAAATATAAAATTATTGCCCTTAGGGGAAATGCAGGGTTAGGTTCCTGTAAGGATCTGATCACAATTTTATCCATTTGTTTATGTGTGTTTCTGTTTAAAGACATCTTATTTAATATGCATTGATTCATTAACATTGGACTCAGCCAATAGCACTGTAACTCACGTCAGAATGAAATTATGTAATACCTATTTTCTCAGTAAGGCACCTAACAGCCTTTTTGCGTTTAGGAACACTATTTCAGCTTGGCCGTTTTAAGCAGGCAAATCACTGTAGTCCTGGCTGGGTAGCTTAGTTGGTTAGTGTCCTTCCAGTATGCCAAGGTTGTGGGTTAGATCTCTAGTCAGGGAACATACAGGAATCAACCAATGAATGTGCTTAAGTAAATGGAACAACAAATTGAGATTTCTTTCTCACATCAAATAATTTTTAAAAAATATATTTTATTGATTTTTTACAGAGAGGAAGGGAGAGGGATAGAGAGTTAGAAACATCGATGAGAGAGAAACATCGATCAGCTGCCTCCTGCACACCCCCTACTGGGGATGTGCCGGCAACCAAGGTGCATGCCCTTGACCAGAATCGAACCTGGGACCCTTCAGTCTGCAGGCCGTCGCTCTATCCACTGAGCCAAACCGGTCAGGGCATCAAATAATTTTTTTAAAAACAAAATAATAAACAGTCAAGTCACCAACAAAAATATAAACATGGCACTAAATAAAATGTGAAAAGGACAGTTGTTTACAGTATGAGAGCTGAAACCAGAAGGCACAAGGATCTGACAGAAACTGTAGTTTTGTTCTGCAGCTCGGGAACATGTGCATCAGGCAGCTCAAACGTTTTACTGCTTTGAAAGTGCAAGAAATACTGATTTGGGGGTTATAAATATATTTTAGTGATTAGGCAAATTAGCAAGTATGGAATCTGCAAATAATGAGGAGTGACTAAATACTTCCCGGATTGCTTGCCCATTTTAATTACCTGAAGTTCTCTTAAAAATTTTACTTATTTAATATTTTAGTGAGAGAGGAAGGGAGAGAAATATTGATTTGTTTTTCCACTTATTTATATATTTATTAGTTGTTCTTTGCATGTGCCCTGACCATGGATTGAACCTGCAACCTTAGCATAGCCAGTCGATGCTCTAACCAACTGAGCTACCAAGCCAGGGCTAATTACCTGAGGCTCTTTACCTTCAACGAGAAGATCAAGGTTTGGTGGTGTGTTTTGAATAACCTTTCATTTTTATAACATTCTGAAGCGATAGTGATTTACTTTTGTAAGTAAAATCCTTCCAGGGGTCTTCTGAAATTATATTTTTAAAAGATTGCATTAATGAAATCATTTTAAGATTAAGTATTTTTGAATTCTTTTTCAAAGTATTTCTAAGTTTGCAATTAGAATTAACATACAGTACTATATTAGTTTAAGGTGACACCATATATTGTTATTACAATATTATTGACTACTAGAGGCCTGGTGAACGACATTTGTGCACTTGAGCGGGCGCCGGGGGGAGTCCCTTAGCCCGGCCTGAGCCCTCTTGCAGTCTGGGACGCCTTCGGGGATGTCCGCCTGCTGTGGAGGTGGGAGAGGCTCCCACCACCGCCGCTGCACTTGCCAGCCATAAGCCTCGCTTCTGGCTGAGTGGCACTTCCCCTGTGGGAGCACACTGACCACCAGGGGGCAGCTCCTGCATTGAGCGTCTGCCCCCTGATGGTCAGTGTACATCTTAGCGACCGGTTGTTCTGCTGTTCGGTCGACTTGCATATTAGCCTTTTATTATATGGGATATTCCCTTTGCTATATTTTACTAGGATTTACTATTAATATTAGCATTCTATCGAATGTAGTTGGTAATTCCATAATTAGAGTTAGATTAACCCAATGTTATACTTGGTATAATGTCTATAATTGACTGTACTTGATAATAGCTTATAGCAATACTATAAGGCAGCGATTTTCAATTGGTACGCCACAAGAATTTTTAAAACATACAATACCTGACTATTTAGTCAGAGGCACTGACCTCTTTTCCCTTAGATTGTCAAATAAAAAAATGACAATAGCTGTCCGGTGTGAATGAATCAAAATTCTATTTTATTTTTGTCAGCTTGGCAAAAAATATAATTTGGGGTGCCTCAGAATCTTAGTAATTAGTTTATGTGTGCCATATGACAAAGATTGAAAATCGCTGCTATGAGAATTATAAAAACTCATCAAACTATTGAGTTAAGACGAGTTTCTTATTTTCTAGGTGCAAACAGCTGCACAGCAAGTGGCTGAAGATAAATTCGTTTTTGACTTGCCTGACTATGAAAATATCAACCATGTTGTGGTTTTCATGCTGGGAACAATCCCATTTCCTGAGGGGATGGGAGGATCTGTCTATTTTTCCTATCCTGATTCCAATGGAATGCCAGTGTGGCAACTCTTAGGATTTGTCACGAATGGAAAACCAAGTGCCATCTTCAAAATTTCAGGTCTTAAATCTGGTAAGAGTAATATATTGAAGTAGTTTCATCATTAAACTGTGTTCTTAAATAGCATAACATAGAATGTGGCTTTTAAAACACTTCATTATATTTTTCTGGTTGCTAACGTAATACATAACTTTTTAAAACAAAATTAGATGATCCTCAAACATTCGAAAAATAGTAACTGAAAGACTTTAGTTCCTCACACTCCCATCCTCTGCCTCTGGAGTAACCACTCATTGTTGTTCTCTTTGTATGGTATATGTCACTGTAAAGGGATTTTCCTGAATCAGTGGGTGTGACAATAAATAATGAGCAGAATCTTGTCATAATTTGTAATATGCATATCTATGTTTTAAATGAACAGATAAACCAAGTAGACTCATATAGTAAATAAAACGAGAGTCGTTTTTTCTTTTATGAAGATGTTTGATTTCTTAGATTTGATTACCCCTTCAGTGTTCTTTTGGTTGTATTGGCATTGCAGATTTTAGACTTTATAGGGACATAATCCTTGCTTTGATTCTATTTAGTTATGTTGTGAAGAAATGTGAGAGTAAACCTAGATATCATTTACTCCCATTGAGTCTCCAGTTTCCTTGAATCTAGATGAAAATAGACATGGAAAATTCTTGGAATATAAATATACCAGAGAAAACAGAGACTATACGATGGGATTTTTTTTTAAAAGGCAGCAAACAAATAATTATATTGCTCCTATGAGTAATGGGTCTAAAACATTGTAACATAGGGAACCAAAAAAAAAGCTGCCATTAGTATATTAATCTTAAAACTTAGAGTAAGGCAAAAGCATTATCAAGGATTAAGAGATTTATTCACTAGGAATGAGTTAATTTACTAGGAAGATTTAAATATTTCTGGGAAACGGTAAATGTCATAAATTTGTGTGTATATATAATATAACTTCAAATATATAAAGAAAAATATTGACATGATAAATGGACAGCCTTAATATTTTAATATACCTCTTGATAATTAACATATCAAGTAGATTATTAGTAAAGAAGGAAGATTTGAATAAAAGACTTAGACTTGAGCTAATGGATATTTATAGAACTCTGCAACTGATAATTAGGTCACACAGATCAAGCAAAAGTAGGTTTATAGTTGTTTGTATGGAAAATCATACAATAATTAATAATATAAGAATAAACATTGTTTCATGTACTCACAACTATAAACCTACTTTGTATACATTTTTTTCACTCTGTATACATTTTTAAGTCCACAGAACATTTATGAAATATCACCACATACCAAGTTACAAAGCACACTGCAGCAAATGGCAGATAATCATTTACTTTGCCCACAATGCAGTGTTATTACAAATCAAAAGATAAAACATTATCATGTTTAGAAATTTAAAAATATTTAAAAATAATTCATGAGTTGTAGAAGAAATGATCATGGAAAATAAACTTTTACAGAAACCAAAACAAACCAAAAACCCCATCACAAATCAAACCTTTTAAATGCAGGTAAGATAGTACTAAAGAGATTGACTCATAGGCTTAAATGTACTGTGTATGTATATATATAAAAAGAGAGATTGAAATTAATGAACTAAGTATTTAACTTAAGCAACTCAAAGAAAGTAGAAAATAATAATGCTAAAAATAGAAATTAATGACAGAAAGTAAAGAAACAACAGAGGGCTTAATTTAAAAAAAATTCGATTCTTTGAAGAGACTAATGATGAGCCACTGAAAAGATAGTATTGAGGAAAAAGAAGGCACAAATAATGTAATTAAAAATGTGAAAATGGGGACATGACTATAAATATAGTAGAGAGGAATGTTTACGAGGAATTTTGTGCCAATAAATTTGAGAATGACAAAGGGGCATGAAATTGGCTATTTTCTAGAAGAATATACTAAAAACTGACTAAACAATAAATTTAAAAATCCTGAATAGATATAATACCAATAAAGAAGTTAAAACCAGTGATTAATAATATAATTCTCCCTTCCACAGGCATCTATCAGGTCCAGACAGTTTTATAAAGTTCAACTAAACCTTTATGAAACAAATTGTTCTTATCTATAATAATAAAAGCATAATATGCTAATTAGACTGGACATCTTTCCAGACAAAGCCGTGGCTGCGAGGGGAGCCCAGGTCCCAGGTGCCTGTTGGCAGCCGGAGGGAAGCCCTGTCCCAGGTGCCAGAGGGAAGCTGGTGCTGGCAGCCAAGGAAAAGAAGGCCTACCCTTGCACGAATTTCATGCATCGGGCCTCTAGTCTTTTGTAAACTGTCAGAAAATAGGAAAAGAGGCAGTTACCTAGTTATATTTTGAAGCTAATTAACCTTTATATCAAAAAGGCTAAGGACAGCCAGCTAGTGTTTTTCAGTGGTTGAGCATGAAACTATGAACCAGGAGCTCACGGTTCTATTCCTGGTCAGGGCACATACCCAGGTTACAGGCTCCATCCCAGTAGGGGGCATGCAGGAGGCAGCCCATCAATCATTCTTTCTCATCTCAACCTCTGAGCCACACCAGCGGGGCATGTTGTTCCTTTTTATTGTTGGGTAGTTCCATTATTGGATATACCACAACTTGTTTATCCATTTATCTGTTGATGGACATTTAGATTGTTTCCAGTTTGGGCTTATAAAATAAAGCTGCTAGAAACATTTGTGTTCATCTTTGTATGGACATATGCTTCTATTTCTTTTGTGTAAAAACCGAGGAGTGCAGTGGCTGGATCATATGGTACTTGTATGTATAACTTTTCAAGAAACTGCCAGAGTATTTTGCAACATTGTTATTCCATTTTACATTTCAACCAGCAATTTATGAAAATTCTAGTTCCTCCACATTCTTGTCAACACTTGGTATGGTTAATTTTAGGCATTTTACTATGTGTATAGTGGTCTCCCATTGTGTTTTATAAATTTGCATTTCCCTAATGACTAATGATGTTAAGCTTTTTCCCCATGTGCTTATTTGCTATCTATATATCTTCCTTGGTGAAGTGTTTGTTCAAATCTTTTGCCTGCTTTTTTAAATTGGGTTGTCTTCTTACTCAGTTTTGAGAGAAAATATATATATATATTCTTGATTCAAGTTATAAATTTATAAGATATGTGATTTTAAAATATTTTTTTCCTGCCCAAACCGGTTTGGCTCAGTGGATAGAGCGTCGGCCTGCGGACTGAAAGGTCCCAGGTTCGATTCTGGTCAAGGGCATGTACCTTAGTTGCGGGCACATCTCCAGTAGGGGTTGTGCAGGAGGCAGCTGATCGATGTTTCTCTCTCATCGATGTTTCTAACTCTCTATCCCTCTCCCTTCCTC